GAGAGAGATAGCGAGAGCAGGAACACAAGCAGGGGGAGTGGGAGAGGGAGAAGCAGGCTTCCCACGGAGCAGGGAGCCCGATGTGGGGCTCCCAGGACCCTGGGATCATGACCTGAGCCGAAGGCAGACGCTTAACGACTGAGCCACCCAGGCGCCCTAAGTCATACTTCTTTAATTAGAATGAACACTAGTGATGTAGCCTAATATTCCAAGTAACTTGTGCTGTTAGACTTGAGACAACTCCACAGTTGTTTTAAGTTATTTATTTTATGTTTAGAGTTTTCTTTAAATACTTTGTGTTTGAGAATAGTGCAAACACTTAGCTTAGTTAAAATACTATAGAGAGGCTTTGTATTTATTTTCTAATGCCCCATATAATTACCTTTGTGACTGATAGTAACAGGATCCTGAAAATAGAATGAAGAAAATGCAATTAGTTTATAACAGATTATAATGAACAGCTAGTTAAAGGAATCTTGTGAATACCTTTCCGAAATGGGTAATTCAACATAGAGCAAATAGTCAGCAGCTTAATTTATGTATAAATTAAATCTTAACCCTTTTTTTTGGATAAGTTCCTTTCTTCTGGTCCCACCTTCAAAATTACTTACGTGTTTGATCTCATTACTTTCTTACTGAAATAAAGATACTTCCCAGTTTAATGAGTTATTTTAGGCATAGAACTACAGTTTGTGCTCCCTCCCCCCCCCCACTGTTATTTAGTGAAATTGCAAACTTGTTAACATTTTGACAAGGAAAGCTAAAGAACACTGGCAACAATATTTTGGTTAAAATAGTGTGCTAATGTTCTGTATTTTATTGAAGAATATATTTTCTGAACAATATATTTTCTGAACACATGGTCTGTGTCTCTCAAATCTTTTTTGAAATAAGGTAAAGTGTACATAAAATAAGCAGATACTGAAACTTTCCTACTTTGTGCTTGCAACTGGTGGAAATGGAGCCTATTTCAAAAGCTTATATTGCTCCATTATCTGGTTGTCACATTAAAGAGATTAATCATGGACACCTAATTGTTAAAAGCATTTAAGTCATGCAGATATTATAGTAAATGGCTAAGAAAAGTTATAAAACTTTTAAAAACCAATTGGTTATTTTTTTAAATTAAATACAGTGTGTAATGGTATCTAGTTAATTTAGATTCAGTGTTCTATTGAATTGTGTCCTCTTAGAAAGAGACAGAGCTAATAAGTATTGGCCTGTATTAAAAAATGGAGCTCAGGGGCACCTGGCTGGCTCAGTTGGTAGAGCATGCAACTCTTGACGTCAGGGTTGCGAATTTGAGCCCCACCTTGGGTGCAGAGATTACTATAAATAAATAAATAAACTTTAAAAAATGGAGCTCAATGTGATTAATACAGTGAACAGTTCTTGCTCAGATTATTCAGACTTCACAAATGTCTCACAATTCCTATAAGCCTGCAATTAAAAAAAAAAAATGAGGGGGCGCCTGGGTGGCTCAGTCAGTTAAGTGTCTGCCTTCGGCTCAGGTCATGATCCCAATCCTGGGATTGAGCCCGCGTGAGGCTCCCTGCTCAGCGGAGAGCCTGCTTCTCCCTCTCCCTCTGGCTGCAGTTTGCCTACTTGTGCCCTCTCTCTCTGTCAAATAAATAAAATCTTTAAAAACTAATTTAAAAAATTTTTTAAATTGAGATAATTTATAAACTTGAAAGCCATTTTTAAAATTTTTTAAAAATTTTATTTATTTATTTGAGAGAGAACGCACACAAGGGCATGTGACCATAGGTGGTGGGGGGGCAGAGGGAGAGGGAGAAGCAGACTCCCCGCTGA